ATTCTGTGGCAAGGCTGGACCAGATGACTCATTTCTTGTAAATACTCAAGTCTTTAAAGAAGGGCTTACTCTCCATCCCACCATCCCCACAAGCTTCTCTGGTGAGGCCACAGGAGAGAGTCTCCTCAATTGCTGCTCCAAAGCTATGGATCTCCCTCCCACAGGATCCTCAGGTAGCACCCTCTCTGCTCTTTTGTCACTGGCAGGGAAAGATCTTATTTAAGCAGGCCTTCAGCCCTTTAAGCCTTGGAGCAGAAGGATGTTCAATGGGTGTGCTGCATTTCGTACTATGTAATGTTTGTTATTGTGTGTAGTTTTAATTTTAATTGTTTTAAATTAATGTTTTAATTGGATTGATTGTTTAATGTTCTTGTACTAATGTTTAGCTTTGTTTTGACATATATTGTAAGCCACTTTGGGTCCCATGTTGAGAAAAAGGTGGAACATAAATTAAACAAACAAACAAAAACAAGGGAAGGGGAAGGGAAGGGAATCTGCACAGTAGAAATTCAAATAGGAGAAGGGAGGCATATGCTCCACAGCCTGGGTCCCAACATATAAACCATAGTTTGCAACAGACAAAGTGACATCTGTACTAGGCAATAGGCCAGGGATGATCCTCCAGAAGTTGAAGGGCTACAAGTAATACAGTATTATTAGTAATACTACCCAGGACTGACAGGAACTACAGTCCAACAGCACTTGAATGGCCACGTGTCCTCCGCTTCTGCCATAACAGGGAAACTGGCCCATGTATGTTTGTAAGGTGACGTTTCCTTTTTCACTGACTACGAGTCCAAATAGTTTCCTCATTAATCAGGGCTATTCTATGGGACAAGTGAGGATGTTGCTGTTGTGAAACAAAAAGTGAGGATGTTGTTGTTGTCCAGAAACCCCACTCCTGCCCTGAGGGTGGATAATGGGGTGCAGAGCACGTGGGAAGCCTTTCTCTCCCACCCGCAACTGTTACCTTGAAGCATGTGTTGAAAAATCTCTTAATACAAAATAGAAAAAAAAATCAGATTACAGTCGGCCCTCTATTTTCACAGGGGATCTATTCCAGACCCACCCACCCCTGTGAAAACGGAGACTTACTAATATTCAACCCCCATTGGCTTGAATGGGGCATGCGTGCATTAGCGCACACCCCACTGAAATTAAAGGAAGTCGTCCCTCCGTGAATATTTAGGTTCACAGAACTCAAGTCTGCAAGAACGGAGGGGCAACTGTAAATTTTTACCATACATAATCAGGATTGGCTTGAGGTCCTTAGTTTGCTTGCTTAGTTATTGAACTTTCCCCCTGGCATGGCACTTCCCCATAATGCAGATCCTTCACACTAGCTTTAATGCCAGCTGATAAATCAATTAGGCAATAGCATTTTCTGTGTTTGAATAGTATCAGGTCAAAGACAGGGCCCACTCAGTTATGGGTGTAAGGAAGCCCACAAGGTCTTGCCTTTAAATTTTAAGAGGACATGAAAAGTTCATTGTATGTTTAAGTAAGGCAATTAACATTGATTGAGGCTTTTATTCTGCTATTGTTTTTAAACTGATTGTTGCCTATCATTTTTATTTTGTATAATTCACTTTGACAATCATAGATTAGAAAGATGGTGCATAAACGTTAAAATCAAATAAAAACCATAAATATTTTATAATATGAAGTCGTAGGCTTTCATGGCCGGCATCCATCTGGTACCAGTCCTA